ATCGTGATGTTCTTACTGGGCTAGTGTAGCTCACTCCTTAATTAACCATTTCAGATCAGGAAGACATGGTTCCCGAGCCCGTTCCGCAGGAGGACGACGAAGGGGATGCCTAGAGACTCTGTAGTCATACGCATAGTTTTATTTTCGAGTTTCTTTCTTAGTTAGTTTAATCTTTTATATTTTAAGTACGTTTTTTTGGTTTTTTCGTGTAAGGGATGTTAACTAAAATTTTGATCTCGCTTCCGCATTCGATATATTTAAATACTCATTTCTTTTTAATATTTCCGGGGCCGTTACAATAAAATTAATTTATTAGTGTATTAATAGAATTACAGTAATCAAATTAAACTGAATCTTACTACGTGGACCAAAAAAAAAAAATTCTCACCAAATTATTTTAAAATATAATTTTTAATAAAAAACTTTTCCTCAAATAAAAAAATCACATATTTATAATATAACAAATATTACTTCAAAAATTAAAATAATAATTTCCTACCAACAGACTTTTAAGAATGTTCTGCAGAATATATATAAAAATATACAAACTTTTTAACTTTTATTCATATCGGATAAATATAATCGAGTGACGTAGTTACGACACGTATACCTGATCTCAGTCACGACATGCATATAATTATACACGTTTATATGTATATATTTACAAATTATATAATTAACAAACCCTAAAGCTCGTCATGTTTAAGATGATAATCTGGGCAACGTGGGAAAACCACTCCAGTTTCCGTCAACTCAACATGATTGCATATAGCTTTGGCTTCTTCGTCAACGCGATCCGCTCTTTGCAGTCTCACGTTCTGCAGTTTTACCCCCAGGCATGGATAATTTTCACTGCAGTCAAAATCTATAGCCACATCTGAAGCACTATTTCCCTGTATGTTCTGGTACAGTACATCTTTCACCTGCACCGCTGATTTCTGCAAAATTAATCGCCGATCGTAACTCGATTTTTTTTTTTTAACCTAAATCTCTTTCGTCCAAACATGGCGGAAATGTAAGTTACCGTGAGGTAAATTGTTATTTCACCTGTTTTTTACAAGGCTTCTTTTGGTCACAGTAGTTTTGGTCTATTATGATGGGATTTTTCACGTTCTCCATGTCCACGTTTTGAAACTTGATGTTGCTTGCACTCCCCGACCCTCCCTAATACGTGATTAACAGATTGATTAGCATAAGAACAAGTTTAAGCTGGTGTTAATCAATTAATTAATTACCTGATATGTTTTAATCCTAACTCCGTTAGTAGTTCCTGAGAGCTTAGCTCCGTTAACGGTGACGAACGAGACAAAAGCTTTTGAATTGTTGTCTCCTAAACTCCCAATACTGCTGGATTAACGATAAATTAATACTAATAAGTAAAAAAATAAATAGGGAAATTAATTAATTAACTTTTATAATTTTGGATTATATTATTAAACGAATTAATTAAATCAGTGTGTTGGAAATTACCTGATTCCGTGACCCGGTCCGCAGGTTAATTCTTCAATTTGTACATTATGGGACCCGCTTTCGATGGAAATACAATCATCACCTTTTTTAATCAAAACAGAAATTAATTAATTTTATAAAATTAATTAAAAATAAAAAATGAAAAAACCCATTTTTAATTCGTTAATTAATTTACTCTATGTTTTATAAATTAGATTAATTAAATTAATCTAATTAATTATTACGTACGTACCTGTTCCGATAAAAGTGTTTGTAATAAGGATATTTTGAGTGTTGGTGACGTGAATTCCATCAGTGTTTGGGCTTTTCTCGGGTGCCGTGACCGTGAGATCTGAAGCTGTGACCTCACTGCATTTTTCGAAGGAAACTTGCATTTGCTGTGCGTCTTGCACCTTCACGTTCCTCACCATTAAATTTTTGCACTTGTAGAAAGTGACCGCCTAAAAAAACAAAAGTTAATTACCAAAAACTATATTAATATTAATTAATTAGACTCCTTAATTCTTAATTTACCACTAATCCCGAGATTAATCAACTTTCATTTTATTGTTCATAAAATAATAATTTCATAATTATTAGAAATTAAAAACATACCGTGGGTGCTTCCTTGCAAGGCTGCAGATATTGAGGAAACCCAAAAAAAAAAAAAAAAAAAATTACAAAAATTAAATGATAATTACTGAATTTTCATAATATAATTTTATTATAATATGAATTTATAATTACTATATATCGACTTACGAGAGATTTATTAATTTTGCATGAATTTCGCCACCAAATTTGGCCATTGCCATGGATGGTTCCGCCACCTTCGACTAATAAATTATCGACACTGTCAATTACAATCCAGTGTCTGGGATCTTTTCTGTAATCTGAACGATTATCTGATGCTAATATTGTTCCAGATATCTGAAAAAATTTATATATATATATATATATATTCACCTTTAATTCATTAATAATTAAATAAAAAAAATTAAAATCTGGATTTATATATATATATATATATGTGTGTATATTAATTATAATTTAGTCTCACCTGAATTACAAGGTTAGATTTGCAGGGACCTAAAAATCTGATTGGCCCAATAAGATATGTTCTTCGCTCGGGAACTAGAAAAAGAGCTGGCCCTTTATAAGAACATGCTTTCTCCCAAGCCTCCTCAAATACCTGAAATTAATTAAACCGCAATTAAAAAAAATTTAATTAATTATCCGAATAATTAGTAAGTTAAATCTTTTAGAACTAATTACGAAAAAAAAAAAAGTATTTCTATTATATAATAATTAAGATATATATGAATATAATATTGTATGTTTATTCTTTTATAAAAAATCGTATGACTCAAACTATATTGTATTTTGTTATATATTAATTATTTCTACTGTACTGTAATTGATGTATGAACGAATGCATGTATGTATTAAGGAATGTAATAATGGATGTATAATATGTATGTATGTATATATATGTGTGTAGTTTGTACCTGCGTATCATCATGAATTCCATCACCTTCAGCTCCAAAATCATCAACATTGAAAATAACTGATCTGGGCTTAGCACTTCGGAGATCCTCAATGCCTTTGAAGCTCAAGACACTGGGTTCTGCCTCCGTAAATTCTTCATCTCGATCGCCATTAATGGAGCTGAGAAATGAAGGGTGAGCTTCAGGATCGTACCCTGCACCAGACAACAGCGTTAACCCTCCTTCTTGATCTTCAGAGAAATTATTAAGCTCGTCGTAATGATAGCCATGAACTCGTTCGCGACGACGCTCGCCATGGAAACCACTGTTGACCAAACGTGAGGAAAAAGAGAAGAACAGGATGGAAAAGGAGAGGATCAGAAGATGGGTACGATTATAATTATCATAATATAGAACAGCCATATATGGTTTATGAGAAATTAAATAGAGAAAAATATATAATATTCTGTTTGTGTAATGATTAACGGGGAGGGGGTGGGAATATAATAGATGACTGTATAGAAATAGTTTGGGAATGGGAAGTGGAGTATAAGTAATGATGAGAAAATTGTATTTATAGGGAAAAAGGTTGAAGAGAAAGATGAAAAGGTTAAGTGTCTCTTAGACTTTGATGACAGAATGAAGGTATGGGGGAGGGGGCTTCCATGGAGATATCAGAGATTTAGACGTAATAATCTCTCTACTTTTATCTACTACTGTTTTTCTCTCTGTATATGTATATATACATGTATATATACATAGTAATGTACGTATAGAATGTGTCTATATAAATAACTTTTTTATACTATAATTAAGGAGACTGCACATGTACAGCTACTGTTACTTAATAACACATACATGCTCATAATAATGTGATCTCCAACCAATAAAGGTAAATTACATGAAAACATAAATATAACTATATATATATATATATATATATATATATATATATGGGTTAGATATAGGCATGCACCAAACACGCATGCACGAAACAATAAGTTGGGAGGAGAGGGAAAGCAAAAACGCTGTAAGGCCTGTTTTAGTTAGTATTTGTTATTTAGTCTCTTTTTATTCTCCTTTTAATTACTTGTTTTTAGTAGTTGGTTTTACGCCATGCAGTATAAGCAACTTTTCTTGGATGTAAATTACTCTACGAAAACCATTAGCTACACCTATATATATACACACACACACACACACACACACATGCATATAGTTGCATGTGCATACATATATATATATATATATATATGTATATCCACATAGTAATGTTATTGGATTCACGTTTGCCACGTAGCTTAAATAGCGTGTAGGGATTGGCTGATGGGTTTGAATGTGCGGTAACATCATAAAGATATATATGTATATACGCACGTTATGGAGTTGGGGAAGGACATAATATATATATATATATGTATCTATATATAGATATATATATATATAGGTTTGCTTTTGGAGTTGGGGTTTAGGAGGTCGAGGAGAAGAAGATGATGATTTCTTTTTTTTCTTTTTTCAATATTTAATTAAATTTAAGTAGTAAACCGTTGAGTTGAGGTCACCATGCCAACCAAATTTGGATAATTTAAAAATAATAAAATTTAATAAATTTTTTAATCGAAATTGGGTAATTTTTATAAAATAAATATTTAATAATATTTAATTTTTTTAATTAAATTAATTTGAACTTTTAAAAAAAAAAAAGAAGGGAGAAAATTTTACCAAAAACAATTTTCTTATTTTAAATATGCATATTGTAGGTTTTTTTTTTTGAATGAATAGAAATATTTTTATCTTAAAAAAATAATAAAAATATTGAAAAAAACATATAAATTAGTAAAATTTTAATAAATATTTATTGGTTTATTCTGAATTTAGGTGGAAATTGGTATAAAAAATAAAATGTGAAGTATACGAATAATATTTTATAAATTTATAAAAATATTTAATTAAAAAGTAATTCCAAGTTGGTGTATTTTGAGACCCATTTCTATTGACCCGGAGAACACGCGCGCATGTTCCTTCTTTATTAATTTATTTTTTTCATTCCTTTTTCTAACGGATAATATTTTATTTATTTATTATTAAATTCTCTCTCACGTCCAATAAAATCATAAATAAATTTAAATTTTAAAATATAAAAATTATTCGAAACTCTAATATTATTCCCAAAAAAATAGAGACGGTCAAGAGTATCAATAATTAAAAATTATTTTGCAATAAAAGTTAATTTTAATTTTTTTGACGTATTATAATTTATTCAATTTTCAAAATTTTAAAACTTTTAAATTTTAATTTATAAGCTCTTCGTTCATTTAAAAAAAATATTTAAAAAAATTTGAATTATTAATTAACCCATTTGTGTTATTCTCAAAGCAATTCTAATAACAAAGTTTTTTTCGTAATATAAATGTAACTAAAATTTTACTTGTGAAATATTATACGCGAAGAGTTTTTACTTTTAATCATGATCACCGTAGTCTAATGATTAAAAAATGAAGTTCGTGGATTCAAATTTTACTGAAAACGTAGAGGTTGTCGTTTTACAGAGATATATTATGGTAGTGATTAATTTATAATATTTGATTTAGTAAGATTAGAGATTAACCTAATTGGCAATTAATCAAGTTGGGTTTAGTGTTAACAATACATAATGTATTTCGAAAAGATGAACGCCTCGTGATAATTGAATTTTTTTTAGTTGGAGTGACGATAACGAGATAAAAATCTGACCTAATTTTTATAAGAAAGAAGTACGTTAAATTATATTATTGCTTTTAAGACAAAAGAAATGGATCTTAGTCATTGGGTATGGGATACTTGATTAGTTACAAGACTAATTAATGATCCAAGAACTTGAATTATGAAGTGGAACATCATTTGTAGGGCCTTACGTTCAATTATACGCTTAATGAACTGGTTGGCTCAAGAGCATAACAATTAATTGAACTTCACAATTCGGCAATCCCCTGATCTACACTCCTTTACAACCAAAACTAATCATGATGTTACATTCAATCTGGACCAATACATACCTACATATATATATATATATATCAATGTCAAATAACGTCGAAGCAATAATGCATTTGCATATAGTGTTCAACGTCAAACATTATGATCCGAAGTCCGCTAAACTTTGAATGTTGGGTTTCATGTTTGGAATTCTTAAGTATTTGGTTGATTTCAGAGTTTGGTGGGTATATTTAGAACTGTAACTTATTTGAATTTCAATAAAACCTTGCAGTTTTTAAATAATTTTGGGTATTAGGGAATGGAGCTAAGGTTTTTCGTTTACATAATTGTTTGTTTCGTTAGTTTGAGGTTATTGGATTAACTCGAGCCCTGAAAAGGTGACTCGAAGCTTCTCGGACTCACTCTGGCTGATAAATTGACACAAATTTTGAAGAGACTTTGTTAAATGGAGAGTCTATAGGATGATAAGTGAGGTTTAACAGAACATTTTGAAGTTGTTGTTACTCGAGTCCAAAGAAAATGTTTTGAATGGTTTATATAGCCGAGCAAAAATAATGTACGCTCAGACCCGAAAACAATGATTGAACCAGTCCAATCTACATGTCCATTGAAATCATACTTGTTCCTGTGGAAAGACCTTAGAGAAGGAACGTTAAAAAATGACTACAGATTATTGAAATCAAAGGTGAGAGACACGGATGATAGCCAGAAGGCGATTTTATTAAAGAAACTGGTACATTAAGGTTGAGTTCCTTAACAATTATTCTTCAATACAAACAGCTCCTCTCTCTGTCACTCTCTCCAATATACAAAGATATTACTTGAATGGAAGCAGTCGAGTATTGGCATCGAATGGTACATGCCATCTGAACAGGGCCGAGTGAAGAGCTGAATGCTTAAACTTGAATCTCAACAGGCCATCTGAACATCTCCTCGGCCGCAACAGGGAGACTCAGGGTCACCAATCCATTTTCAGGGTCATGCTCAAACTCAGTCTCCACATTCCCTACACTGCATTTAAGTGGACGCTGAGAACAATATGCACCAAACCGGCCACAACCCCTGACCTTCAGCGCTATTGTTGCACTTGCTGACCGGTTGTCACTCAAGAAAGTGGTTAGCTCAGAGGAGACTTCGCCGTCAAACAGTTCTGGTTCGTTACCAGAAACCTTATTGACTTCCACACCCTCCACAGCACCACCCGCGTTGAACATGTCAAGCAGGCCAATTGGTGCAAACGAAATGTTTGGTGTGACCTCCTGCAACATGGTGGAGCTCATTCAGTACTTTTGCTTAATTTGGTTCATCAAGCAGTTAGAAACTGGAAAACTCACCTTTACTGGACAGAAATGGAAAAGTTCATACTCCACGACTTTCAGTGTTATCGGCACTGAAGCACCTTTTGGTAATCTCATCACCTCCCCTGGAATTTACAAGCATGATGCTCTTTTAAAATCAAGCAAACTTTCTATATAATAATCAGAATTCTAGCTTTACTTTTTGATCACTGAACAGAAAGAGCTTCTGCATCAAGTTTTTAACTCAATCAACTTTCTATTAGTTCCTGAGCTATGAGGTGGCTACAAATAATTTGCTAATGTGGTGTCAGAAATCTTGCTCAAAAGGTCACTTTTGTTGAGACGCATTGGGAACGTGTAAGAGCATATTACCTGATCTATAGGCATAAACTACTGTGTCACCATTCCAGTCTGCACCAGCAACTTGAGCCATAAGATCAACATCAGTGGCACAGACAGAACCAGTGAGGGTACCAGGAGATTCATCATGTATAAGTGTCTTCTTTGTGATCTTGCACCAACCAGCGCCTTGGCAGTTGAAAGCACCAACCACACCGGAGAATTTGTTCACATTCCAAATTTTGAGTAAGCTGCAGATTCCAAATTTCAAATGATTTTACCATTCAGTTCAATGTAACAAGAAGTCAACAATGATAGATACAAGTATAAGTACAACTGACATACCTGGTTCCATCTCTGGCAGGATCAGTAAACAGACAATCGCGACTGGGCCTGCCAGGTAATTGAGCACGGAGAATTGAACCATCAGGGAGAACAAGCTTTTTCAACAGCTCAAAGTTGTGGTTTCCGGGCTTGTCACTTTATACCAAAATAATGTAAATTTCAATTAGCAGCTTTTAACTTCTATCTTACTATCATCACTAAAAAGAAATCAAATTAAGTAAGGATACCTGACATAGATTGCACATCCGCCAATGGCACGGGCAGCCCCATGATACTCTGCAGCTGGGTGTAAGCTCTGCAAATTATACATTTCTTCATCAATATCCAATGACCAGTAATAGCCCTTAAATAGAAGATAGAAGCGCTCCATTTTTTGTCACATATCTTTTCCCTGGGCACAACAGGTTACTAGTTCCAAGTTGAGTGCATACAACTCTCAATAACTAAAACGACAACAACATCGAAAATGAACATCAAAACACAAACACTTTTTCCATTTGCTGTGAGAAAAATAATGGACTGTATCCTGGATTAATTTCATTGAGTTTACCATTCAGACTTACTAAAATTCAACGTGATCATAAGCCAGAATTTGTTTAATTCTACTCACATGGAACATATCCCAGTCAGGTTGCATAAATTCTCCGAGGAAAAGGGTGTTGTATGCCACCGAGGAGATGTGGATGGTATGGGAAGCAGGATCCCTTGGATAGAAGTCATCAGAAGCCCTAACCACAGCAGTCTGCTTGGCACTATAGATTCCATCAGTGTTGTGACACATGCAAGCTATGCATCCATTGTCTGGGAAGTTTCTAGCAACTGAAGCCTCAAGAGCTTGATGGTAGCTTCGAGTTAGAGAGACTCTGCCACCATGGCCAGCACCAAGAGTCTCAATAATGTTTTGTACATCAACTTTCACCCCATCTACTCCACATGAAGCCAGGTAGGCATGGAGCTCATTGTAGAAATTGAAAACCTTCTTTGGATGTACCAAGCCCAGGCCATGAATACCAAGGCTGTCCATTACTATGTCTGGCTGATTGCCTAGTACACCTGGGGACTGAATAGGGTATGCCAATGCAGTGTCATAGTGCTCCATACCAGCAGCTGCTGGTTTCACTCCACCCCAATAACCAGCCAATGCATGCCATACATACACATACCTGTCCCAGAAGGTAATAGAAAAGTGAGAACATCCATAAATCTTCTCTGTTATAGTAAGTATCTGTTATGATTGAGGCACTTGAAAAGAAAGTCTTATTTAAATTATACAAGATCCACCAGATTGTTACTGACTATCAGCCAAGAGAAATTATTGTGAAACTGGTTCCCGTGAACTTCAGATACTGTACTTAATGCCATGCAGGGTAATACCGACCTCACATTAGACTACAAAAATAGACATCGTACTCTCTTTTATGAAGAGTAAGTAAACAAAACAATCTTAAGTTTTCTGGTTACATTTCCAAGAAGCAAATTGCATATTAGAAAAAGCTAGAATTAATTTTGTTTTGCAAGTATTGAAAAATATTTACTAGTGGAACTTGGTCCACTTACTTCACATTTTGACGCTGCTTTGCTCCTTCTACAACGTGCTTCAGTCCAGATACTTGCTCTTTGTTCTGGTTGTTCTTTTGGAATTTTGAGTTCTCTTTAATTCCTGTTAGTCTACTTGCAAACCTGTAAGAAATTATATTGCAGATGATCAACATTCATCGACTTCAATCAAGATATTGATGACAATTGAAATATTCTCATAAAAGAAAAAAGACCTCATAAAGAACCACTTTGAGAGGGCCTTATTTACTGCTACTAATAATCTAGCTAAAACTCCCAGCAAAACAGTTGTCAAAACACAGGCAGAAACTCATCTATATGCTTAGGTAAAGAGAGAGAGATCTTACTGAGCTCCTTCCTGAACAACGCAATTAGCATCTCTCTCTTTCTTTTCAATTTGTTGCCAACCATCATCTATAATCAAAAATCTTGGAGGAATTCCTCCTTCAGATAGACTGCAATAACAACCGGATGCACTTTTTCAGTGATTGAATCCTCATATCAAACTTTTCAATGATCATATCTAACCCAATTTCAACCTCTGGTATCATTTCTTAGTTACCTTTTAAGTCCTTCTTCAACACCCTCAGCTGTCACGTCTGTATAGAAAGCATCCCATGTGCACCACCCAAACCAGTCAAGAAAAGAAGGCAACTACACACACCCAATATGAAGAAAGGTCAGATATCACTTATAATGTTGATAACAATTAAAAAATGGATCAAACAATGCAAGTATATTCACCTTTTTCTTCTCCCGATGAAGAAATGTTTGCATATGCTTCTCAACAGCCCTGTTTCACAGAAAACAACTTATTGAATAGCTGCAACTTTCATAAATTACATAAGATGCAGAGCATTTTTCACAGATATGCCATACTCCAGAAATGTCATTCTCATTGTCTTTCATAAACAACGCTCACCGAAACATAATGAACTTTTCACAAATATTTAAAGCTCCTGATGCATAGCCTTTGTAAAAATGCTTCAAAATGTTAAACACTTACTTTACAGCCTGGTTGATGACTTCAAAGGGGTTTGTCCCAGCATGCATGTAGACAAGGTAAAGGCCCTGGTTGGTTTCGACAGCATTGTCTCCTGCAAAACCCAAACAAACACCAAAAACAAAGGTCGTTTTGGTTCTTTCGATACGGTCCTTTCTACCTATTTCTTCTGGAAATGCTACAAAGTCCATTAATTTGATTTGGTAGAGCAATTGATTGGTTTCTCCTGCTGGAATTGTTAGCATTGACAACTCCATCTCAAATTTCAGATGGTAAGGCCATCCCATCAATGGCTGTTGCGATGCAATCGAATTAATGGAGAATGCGGCCCTAGATAGTGAAAATGAACAGCAGAGGTCTATAGCCTACACCGAATTTGTTCTGGTGATCATAATCTACTCACCACTCTCGAGACAAATCTCTACTTCGTTTTTCTCATTGCCTTGCAGAACTGCTCGGAATTGGCCTTCAAGAAGAGGTAGAAAGACTGTGTAGACAGTTGCAGCATCACTTTGATAATCTCCCTCAGTGTTGTTCTTGCTCTCAACAAGCATGAATTGGGTCTCCAGAGGAACATCTTTGCCACACATTCCCATTCTCTGGGTCATCCACCATAACTTAAATCGGAAACAACACATGAAACGGAGACCCCTGTTACGAGGAAGATGTAAAAACCATTATAAGTGCAAGTTCGCTAATTCTGAACATCATTGATGGAAGTGCAAGTATAAGATCAGTGGCTAGAAAATCATTCATTGATATTCATAGAAACTTACAAACCTTACTCAAGTATAGAGGTTATTATTTTTATATTCCCCAAAATGAACAACCACGAATTGGTTAATTGAAATTTTAATTAATCACCCACCAATTCTTCGTTATAGATAAAAGGGACTTGAAAGAGACTTAATAGAGATTATTAGTCAGTGCTTACTCCAAAACACCGATTGGGAAGACATGAAGGCTCTTGCTGATGGAAGCTGTGGCACCAATGAATGCACCAGACATGAGTCCCACACCGGATCCTGGAGTTAAGATGATGTTGTCTGGCACTCCAGTCAATATGGTCTTTCCATGAACCACAAGGTTACCATCGTTGATTGAGATGTTTGATGTGACCGTCATTGTTGAGCACTTAATGACTGTAAGAAATGATTCGCCCATTGTTAGGCCAAACTTTCATGGTACAAAAATATATAACACAAACAACTAACAGAACTTTGGCTTCTGCTTTTGCTGTAAAAAAGTAAAAGTATAACCAAAGGCTAAAATGTTAAAATAAAAGTACTTGTAGAATTTGTTTTTTGAGTCACAAAATAAGAATAAGAACTTTTAACAAATGACTTGTAGTAGATAAATAATATTCTTATATTTATTACTTCTATATTTAACTAATTTATTAATAATATTTTTAAATAAAAATAATATTTATTTATTAGCAATGATTTTATTTTTGTTATGAATTATTTTAATAAATTTATTTAAAATTAAATAATAATGATAAAGGGATATATAGAACCAAAAGAAATAAAACAATTAAATTTAAATAAATTAGTTAAAACAAATGTAAAAACCAATATTATTTACGTCAAGTATTATTAACAAGCACTATTACTTTTATCTCAAAATTAATTATACTATTTTTGGAAACTGTATAAACACATACATAACACGAGCCGGGTAAAGCAAACACAAGAATGCATGATGAATCTTTTTAACATATATAAAAAAAAAAAAATTGTAGCCTTGTTCGATGGACGAAGGTGATTGATTATTTGTTTTATAATACAGTAAGAATCGATCACTAGACTGGGAGGAAGAAATATGGTTTTAGAAAGTTTGAAGGCGTTTCATGAAAATTGTTAAATAACACAAGAGAATAAATATAGCAACGGGATATTTTTAAAGAAAATAATGAAAAGTGCGAGATGGACCACGGAGACCTCCTTTTGCTTAAACGCTTCGGCTTAAAGACCTCTGCCCCTAAAGATTCAAATTTCCGAACACTGGAAACCAACCGAAAACAAAAGTCGGTTATTGTCTTCATTCGCAAAAAGAAAAAAGAGAGAGAGAATATTATTTTATAAGGGCATCAAAATTTCAGTTAAAACAGAGGAAAAGGAGAGGGAAAAATATAGATAGTGGGTACAGGGCTCTATAATCTTCAATATCAAATAGCGGAAAAGAGGCAACGTTTCTAAACCCCAAACAAGACAGAGCAAACAAGGAGAAATTGTAAAAGAGCTAAAATAGAGAACAATCAAAATCCAGAATCCAGAGCACTTAATTATCAGTAACGGACAACTTGAGTTCGATTCCTTAATGATGATTATCACTTGAGAGTAAAACTTAGAAAATGAGTTTATGACTCACAGGAATGGTCCCCATAAGTTTCTCAAATTATACCATGGGTCCAAATTCGAGTCCAGAATATGAAGATTTTCACTCTTAACTGTCGCAGAATTAAAATCTCCTCAAGAACCATAAAACACTTCGTAATATCTCCAAAACAAAGCGCGGCTCAAAGAACGATTGGAAGACATCATCATCCACAAAAATTCACATGAATATTCACCAAAAGTCTCAAGATCAGCTAAAATACAGAAAATCACTTTTCAACGCATAACACAAACTCAAAATCAACAAAAACCTCTACGAAACTGCCGTACTCAAACATTCAAAGTAGCACACGGAAAATTCAAAGAACAATAGTAAAAGGAAAAACTAAATTACCAAGAAATTAAACAAAATCTCAACCAGGAAAGGAAACTCACCAGTCGCTTCGCAGTCTGCAGAGATTGAGAGTCTTGCTCTGAGCTTTGTACGAGAGAGATTTCTTCGCTCTAGAGAGAGCAAAATGAAGACGTAAAGAGGGAGGACGTAGGAAGTTGTACTCAACAGAAGCGAATTCCACAAAGGAAATGCCTCTGAGGAGAGAGCTTAATCACGATTTGGCTTCTGCTTGCTCGCGAGACACGGAAGTGACGAGAGAGAAATGCGCGGGTGGGTTTATATACCACGGCAGGCGGTTAAAGGTCGAGCAAGTTTGGGAAATGGATCCTTCCAGATTTTGCCACGTGGAATCGTGTCAGTAGTGTGTTTTTAAATATTTTTATATTTTCGCGGGGAATGAATAATTTTGGTAATAAAATAAAATAAAATAATGAGGATATTTTTTGCTTTTAAGCATTTAATAGTCGCAGATCCACGTGAGCATGAATCGTGAATGAAAGACGCTTTAAGAAGCCAACCTTGACTGGCTGGCTATCCGGTAGCCGCTTTACCTTCTCCTTTTTTGACCGGTTATTAGCGGTTTAAGCAAATCCAACACAGTGATTTTCCGTCAAATCATGCGTATCCAACGGTCCAGAATTTGATTGAGATCAGACTGAATTAAACTAAAATATAAATTTTTAAAAAATTAAATTAAAATTTAAACCAAAATAAATCAAATTACACAATAAATAATAAATTAAAAACTGAACTAAATTAAATTAACTTGCACAATAAATAATAAATTAAAATATATTAATTAAAAAAATAAAAAATTAACAAATGCATTAGGCAAAATATTTAACTCATGAGAGCAAACCACATCCTAAAAATAGCAAAATTCCGATATTTTTATAATTTATTTAAATAAATTTTAATGATAGTTAATTAATATTTGTCAATGATAGTGATTGAATGATAATGATACAGGATGAGAATGATAATATTTTTTTTATGTTTTGATGATAGAATGATGTAATTGTATTTTCAGTCAAATTATTAATTTACTTATACCTATTATATGTAATAGTAAATTGTATATAAAAAGTATGTAATGAAAAAAAATTTATTTATTAATAGAATTACATTTGTCTTTAAATAAATATTTATTATACATAATCAGATTAAATTTTTATATTTAATAAAATAAGAAGAAAAACTAAGATTTTTAATTTGTGATGATAAAAATATAATTAAGTATATCATATGGGGGTATAAGGAAAAAAAAAAGTAACATGTCAGTCACATACCACCAATTCGGTGGTTTTAAAATTCATTCCAAATTTTTCGGTCAGATACCGTTTATTACAATTGGAAGTTGAAATAAATATGATTATTCACACCCGTTGAATACCATACATTAAAATTATATCACTCACCACGATCCAAATAGAGTTTTATAATGAATGAGAAGCTGAAGTAAATAGTAAATAGATGAAGTAAGTCATATAAAGACAGAATATAATAAAAGAACGAATATGGAGAGACAATATATGATTGATTCTCATTACAATAACTAAAAGTCTAAAACATTCATCAAATTTTAATGATTATACTTATAAGTAAAAAGAATTATGTAGGCAGTGAGAAAGATGAAAAAAAATAATTTAGAGTTTTTTATTTTTTTATTTTTAAGGACTACGACTTAGAAAAATAAAGATTATATAGACGATGTTAGAGATTTCTTTAGTGTCTAATGGCGGTAACCCTATTCCAATAATACTTCCCTGTCTTATTTGTTTATCTTATTGGAAAAAAGACTCCGTGGTGGGGTGGGAGGGAGTCACTCGAATAGACCGTACACCTATGTAATTAGTTTAAGATAGAAGTCAGACAGTGCGTAAAAAAATTTATATTGTCTTCTTCAATTTTAATCTTATTGTCTTATTTGATCTTAATATTAAAGTAAATGAGCTATTCATGGGTATAAAATACTTACTACTTCTTCTGTCTTTAAACTTATAAAATGATAATATTATAGAAACGCTGTTCTCATTATAGGAGTTACCCTATAACATTTCTAATAGTTTATAATCGCTAAAAAGCTTCTCTTCTCGTGACACCCGTTATATTTAAAAAATTCATACGCGACCAACAGTTTTCTCAAAATAAAAGAAGATTCACTGTTTGCTACTCACGAAAACATCTGACTTATATTATAGTCAACTCATCCGTTATCTTTCTGATTTTTTTTTCTTTCATTTATCATATTTTCTCTTTTGCATGAACCAATTAGAGGAGTTATTTTATTGTATATAATTAATTTAACACCTATGAACTTAGACTAAATTAAAAAGAAAAAATGATATTGTAAGTTTCTATCTCCAATATCGATAATTGACATGTATATATATATATATATATAGACTGGTTCAATTCAAACTGACCCAAAGATTGTCAGGCCAATTTGCAGCTGCTTTTACTCACCCCTACATTGAAGGAGGTATTATATATACATACTAATATATATTATGTATATATAAGATGAGAAAAAAGTGGGAATTCACATGGGCATAACATGCATGCAACAGTAGTTTACAGCGTGTGACTGGCGGAGATGACGTTTAATAAACTTTTTCTCCGGGAAATGTACTAAAAAGTTAATCAGTTGGACGTGCCGTCACTTCACGCCGTGCAAGCCGCCACTGTCCCAACTTCCATGCCGAATTTTTGGTTGATTACCATTTCAAGTTTAATATTAAACGATACTGAATGTTGTCGTTTTGTCTCACGTGATTTGCTCGTGTGTGAAATGCTATTGACCCTCTAATAATATGCCACGTGACATATTCCGTAGTGATAAACATGATGGGGAATATTTAATTTAATGCAATAATTAGCAGTGATTAATAATTTTGTTGGGTAAGTATAGATTCAGTTTAGATAATTACTTAATTAAATAATTCGTATATATATATTTTTTATAATAAATTATAAATTCAAATTTATTTGTGAATATATAAATTTATAAGAATGATATAATATTTATGGCATTATATCAAAATTATATTCCGTAAAATAAAATTTAATTTATTTTTTATTTTTTTAGACTATTTTTTTATTATTAAAAAAAATTTTAAATTTTATATTGTTCTCTTCGATTTGGACAGTAATTAATTATATTTTTTAAAAAATTATTATTTGTACGATATTTTTTATTGGACACGTGTTAATATTTGATTCATGATTTCAATTGATTATCATAATCCTGAACCATACACTTGGCTTTGGAAGAATATTTATATAGATTTATATGGTTGGCATCAAATACACGAGTAATAAGTTCATTTGATTTTCTCTTATAAATTATATGTATTGACAAAAAATCAAACATTCTTTGTGTAGCAAAATTGTAATTAAATTAAATAGTGGATTAGTGGATGCATGCGTTAGATTTCAAGTCAACCATGAACTCTTTAAATTAATCAACGTAAAGATATTTTTAAAAACTTTATTATCTGAAAGATTAGTAAATAAAAAAGATAAATTAATTTGTTAATTTTGTTTATTAAAATTAATCAGCGATTATCATTTTTAATCAAGCAAATAAATTAAAATTTCTTACGGCTAAAGGCGATTGGCAGAGCCAGCTCGGTTGCGGCGGTGCCACGTGGAACCGAACGGCGCGGCAGGTGGGCCCCACTAGCAGCTCAACTGGAATAGATACCACGTCAGATGTCGGACGGCGTTGTCGTTGCATGATGCTTTTAGCCACGTAGGTAGAACATGTTTTTCGGTGGGCCCCGCGGCTCCCTGGATTGATGGAGCAGAAGTTTGCAAGTGGCGATTCATCCGGTAACTGAAATTGCTTCGGGAGTCGGGACGAGGGGAGAAGATTTTTTTGGTCACAACAAACCAGGATATGTGGGCCCCGACCACCTCGGATCTGACTCGTACCATGTGTCCTCCCCCACCCTTTTCCTACCCTTCGGTGGCCCCCAACTATGGAGTAATTTACGATCTAATCCCTAAATTTTGAAAATATATAATTTTTGTATTTTTTTATTATAAATTATTCTACCGTATAATCTACGCATTTTGGGACTACCAATAAATACATATACACGTATGTATATGTACATACATGCGTGTATGTATAGGACTATGATGGCAAGTGCATGATGTTTTTTAAAAAAATATATAAAAATGTTATATTTAATTTTTAATATCAATATACTAAAACTACATGAACTAAAACAATTTAACTATTATTATATATATATATATATTTTTTAAAAAATATATAATAATTTAATTGAAACTCATTATAATTTATAAATACATTATTAAAATAAATTATTAATTTTGCTTAATTTAATATTATAACATAACGCAAAAAAAAAAAAAACCATAAATAATATATTATAATGTTGTTTGAAATTAATAAATTTAACTGTAATTATATTTAAAATCTAATTCTTTTGTAATTAATTCCCATATTTTATTTACATATTATTATTAATATAAATAATTAAATACTTAACATTTATTTTTTAATCATAACTCTCCAGAGGGTGATACATACGCTAAAATATTATAGGTTTCAATTGCATTACCAAATTTGACCAATTGATACAATATATAATTTATAATACCTGTCACAAAATTGACATATTTTTTTGCTTAATCAGCATCATTTTTTAATTAAATATTATTAAATTAAATTAAAACATGTATGATTGTTAGTTTTATAATTTATTATTTTTAAATACTTATATTTAATTCGATAAATTAATTATTCATAAAAGATGTTTTATTAATTTAATTAAAATTAACTCATTAACGTGACAACTTAATATGTTAATAATATTATTATGATTAAATTTTAATAAATTTGTTGTAGTAATCCGACAACAAAAAGTCACGTAATTGAAATTTTGACTTGGGCTAAACACAAATTAATCATTGTAATTATATGTCGATTTTAATATTTTCTTAATGTAGCTCAAATAATTGAGATTTCATGGACTGATTAGCAGCACTAATTGTGTCACTAATTTGATGTGTAAATTAAAATGAATAAAATTAAGACATAATTAATTTTTTAATACGATATAGGCAGTTAAATAATTATTGTAATAATAATATTATAAAGATTTAAAAATTTATTTTTTAATGGAAATTTAAAAATATTTTATTTAAATTGGAATTTGTTTTTTGGATAAAAGAAATTCATTAAGAAATTTACAAAAAGAGTCCGGTTGAAACACGTGAATCGGCCCGTTAATTAATGGCCGATCGCAGGTTCACTCCGTCGCCGGGAAAACCTGACTCCTCTGCTATTTGATGACTTGGTGGATGCTTCAAACAATTCCAATTTCATGTATGTTTGTTGGAAAGAAATTTATGTTTGTTTTTCGTCGAATTTAGGGTTTAGTTTGCTCCTTTTGGGTTTCAGAATGAAATTAATTTGGGTTTTCACTTGTCGTTAGGGTTCCTTTTTCAAGTTAAATGGAGATATCATTGTGCAGTGCGTCTCGGGCGTCAGAGCGGAAATGGTCGAAGGTAATGGAATAGTTTGTATATTTAGTTTTCTTTCTTTTGAGGGGTATTTGTGGAGGATCATTTGTTTGGAGGAATGGTATGATTGTGCAGTGATACAATGTTTTGTCTTAATTTCTGTTTTTTTTTTGTTTTTGTTTTTGCCTTGATGTGTTCATTGGATTAGCCTGATAGGGGAGAGACTTGTTTGGATGAGAAGATTGGTATTGATAGACTGCCAGATGAAATTCTGATATTAATAGTTTCTTGCTTGGGATTGAGAGAAGCGGCCAAAACTTGTGTTTTATCCCGTAGATGGGCAGAGTTATGGAGGTTTACAGTTGGTGCCTTGGATTTTGAAGCTCCGGAGGCACTAAAAGGTATATGCAAAGCTGGCGAACCGGACAGAGTCAGTTTTGTGAAGTGGGTTTATAAAGTCTTGAACTTGCACCAGGGTAATTGTATAGATAGTTTTAGAGTTCGTTTCGATTTGAGTTGGAGTTCATCTGCTCATATCGACAATTGCCATGAGCAAAGATGTTAAGAGGCTTGACTTGGACTTTGGAAGCAATTATAGTCGTCACCCAAGTAGACATCAATATGTTTTTCCTAGTCTGGAGAATTTGATGCAAAAGACTCTGAAGAATTCAAATGGTTGCATGTCAAGGTCTGATTATTCTTCTTTGGTGTCTCTTCGTTTAAAAGACGTGGATGTTGGCGAGGAAGTTCTTGAAGACATTTTATCTAGTTGCAAAGTTCTTGCGGACTTATCTGTGGTTGGTTCTGATTGCTTGAGAAAATTAAGTGATTACTTAATTTAAAGTGCCTGGAGGTATCAGAGTGTTGGATGTTAGAAACTTGTGAGATTGATGCACCAAATCTCAAAGCATTTGAATATCTGGGGAAGTTGATTTCTCCGCTTTTCAAGAATGTTTCTTCTCTGTCAGAGATGTCTGTAGGTTGTTTTCTTCTTTGTAAAATTTATTAGGAACTTTCGCCAACATTTCAAGTGCTACTCTCAGCTTAACACTCTCAAATTGAGATTGGTACTGGATTATGAGGTTAGTAAAGAAAATCTTCTCTTAATCCTGTCATCTCTATTTTTCAAATGATTATTTCAACTCTTAAATATGTCTGTACTTAACAAGATACTATCAAGATATTGTAACTCGGTTTACACCTAACCTTTTTGTTTGTTAGTTCTTTCTTTAAACCATGGATTCATGATTTGGGATTTATGTGTAGCAAATATACTGTGCTTGCATTACATCTATCAGCAAAATTAATCCGAAATATATCTCAATATTTGTGTTGAAAAAGGACTAATGTAAACTTCCAATATTTTGCTGTATTCTGCCTTTATTCAGGTATGCAATGATTTACCTCTGCATTTTCCTGAGTTGAGAAATCTCCATCATCTAGAATTCACAATTGTTACAAGAGGCAATAAAAGCCTACTTTGGTGCACCACCCTTGTCAAAGCGTCGCCTTTGTTACATAACTATGTGGTTCATGTGAGTATTTCTTCAAACTACCTTTAATATTCATTCTTTTCTGCGAGCTAACATATGCCTTGACATCTCCCTTTCCTTGTGGATGGCAGTTAGCAACAGATGGAGGACATGGTAGAATGGTGAG